CCGAGCACACTTACATAAGATAATAATTAATAATTAATAATTAATAATAATAATAATAATCATAATGATTATGATAATAATAAAAGGAGAGATGAAATATAAGAAATGCATATCGTGAGTTATGGAATCCGATGATATATGATTCTGAAAAGTGAGTAAGGCATAAACCAAAAAAGAAAAAGAAGAAGAAAAAAAACAAAAGAAAGGAATAAAAAAATTAATAAATGTAACAGACGTAAGTATGTTTTGTGTGTGTGTGTGTGTGTGTATGTTTAGTCACGATATATGATATATCTCTTGTTTCACCCCTTTTTTTTGTCGATTGAAGAAAAATCATCGGAATTTGTTAATCACGTTTGCATCTCTTTTTTTCTAACTTTTAAAACAAAACGCGTTGAAATACCTAGATATTTACAAAAAAAAAAAAAAAAAAAAAAGGAAAAAAAAAAAAAAAAAACTTCAGAGAACGAGTATTTTAATATTCTTTNTTAAAAAAAAAAAAAAAACAAAAAGGAAAGAAAAAGAACAAAACTTCAGAGAACGAGTATTTTAATATTCTTTTTCACTTGTCGTTCGAACGAATCAACGATTTAGTCGTTTGCTTTCTTTTATTCAACCCCCCACCCCCAACCCGACACCAAACCCGCCTTCTTTTTCTTTTCTTTTATCTGAAAATTTTGTTTTCATCCGAAATAATAAATATATATATATATATTTCTTTTTTTAATGCGAGAGGAAAACAAATTTTCTATTAAAAAACACATTTACTCGTTTAATTATTTGCTCGTTGGATGACGATGTTAAAACACGTCGAATATTTTTTTTATTCCAATGGCCACCATTCTTTAACTTATAAAGTTCGAATATGTGTTTTCAAAAAGAAGTCAATTCAAAGTACACGATTGATGATATTCTTTCGGAATATTGGATATTAACGGAGAAAAAAAAGCAAGAGAAAGAAACAAAAAGAGAGAGAGAGAGAGAGAGAGAGAAAGAAAGAAAGAAAAAAAAAAGAGAGAAAGATAGTTATACATAATTGATGATCCCTTCTCACAAAAGTATTTAATAATTTATTTTTTTTCTGCGATAAAGATCGCACGAATGTGTATAACCATTATAGAAACATACAAATACAAGAAGAAAATACGTAAGTTGTGAAAAGGTATATCAAACAAAAATCCGCGAAGAGGGGTTGGAACAAGAGGGTGGTGGGGGGGGGTTAAAAAGATGGGAGTAATTATTAATCATCACCACGTCTTCGTAACTTTCGTTGAGATCCGTCGATGTATAAATTTACATAATATATATAATATATGAGATATATATATACATATATATATACATACATAAATACATGCATAAATACAAAGAAGAAAAAACAAAAGTACACAAATATATATTTTTCTGAAAAGAAGAAGTATCGAGACGACGACGAAAAGAGGGGTGTGGAATACAGAAAGAAATAGAGAGAAAGAAAGCTTTGCGAAGAAAAAAAAAAAAAAGAAGAAGAGAAAAAACAATATGCATATGTACTACGCGCGAATTGAATATTTGCGCGGCGTTTAATGGATTATATAAATACATATATAATGAAATATTAAAAATAACAAATAGTATATTAAAACCGTGAATTTTTACGTACGTATGGGGTTATCAGGGTGTAGATTAGAACGTACGTTGTTACACGTACGTTAAAGTGTAACTATGACAACAAACAAACAAACAAACAAACAAATAATTAAATAAACGAACGAACAAACAAACATACATAAATACAAAATAATTTAATTAACATTAACCGCGCGACAAATGAACGAACGAGGAGGAAGAAGAAGAAGAAGAAGAAGATAAAAAATAAATAACATAAAAAAAAAAAAAAAAACAAAACAAAAAAAAGAACAAAGAGCCGCATTATTTTTTTGGAATGTCCTTTAAGCGACGAAAATAATAAACGAAAGGAAAATAAGCGAGAATTTTTCGCTTTTATCGGAGACTCGACGAAAATTCGAAGACGTGGTCGCCATGTTGTATTTCAACCCCTTTCTCTCTTTCTCTCTCTCTTTCTATCTCTGTCTCTCTTTCTCTATCTCTCTATTTACAATAAATAAATACATAGTACTTTGCTTTAAAAAAAAAAACACATAATAAAATGAAAAAAATATTCGACGTTATTCGTCAACTTTCAAATATTTGTTCAAATATGATGAAATGGCTCGTATCATTACGTGACTCTTGAAATAGAAGAAAAAAATTATGATGAGAGGTAGTAAAAAAAAAAAAAACATCCGTCATATATATATATATATATTAATCTCTCTCTCTCTCAGGAAGAGAAAAATTCGTTTCGTTGCGTTGCATCCAACGGGTAACAAAAACAAAATAAATGTCATATTGTCGTCGACAAGAAAACAAAAAGAAAAGAAAAAAAAAAAAATATGTTTATGTGCTCGGACGCGAATTTTCTATATAAATGGCCCCTTTCTAAATCATACTTTATTATATTACCTTTCTCCGTCCTCGAAATAAAATTAATTCAAATACGAGACACTCAAAATACGTTGTTGTACATAAAATGAGAGAGACTCGTTACGTTAGCAATAGTTATATGCTATAACCAGAATTATTATTATGTTATTATTATTATTAATATTATTATTATTATTATTATTATTCTTATTATTATTATTATTATTATTATTATTATTATTATTAATGTTAAATGTCGTGATGATTATAATTTTGACGTCTCGACAGCCCCGCCATAAACGTTGTCCTTCTCTTCTCTTTTTATTTTAAACACCATACACAATTTCTCTCTCTCTCTCTCTCTCTCTCTCTCTCACTCTCTCTCTCTCTCTCTCGTGTAGGTTTATCTATCTCTTTCTATCCTCTTCTTTTTCATTTTTACTTCCAATTCCTCCCTCTCTCTCTCTCTCTCTCTCATATGTACTGGCACGAAAAAAACAAGGTGAATTATGTTTCTGAAAGATTAAGAATGCAAAGAGAAATTTTGTTTATAATTTAATACCCACCTACCACTCTTATTCCCGTCTCCTTTCCTTTTTTTTTTTTCGTCTCTCGGCACCTTTAGATAATTTTTTCGATTTTTCTGACATTAAAACGTACATACGTTTAACATAATTTTTCGCGTCAAATAATGTTTTAAACAAAACATTTGTAATATTCTTTTACGAACACTGTTCTCTTTTTTTTCTTATTATACTTTTCCTCTTCCTTTTTTTTTGTTTCTTTTCTCTATTCTTCTTTTCTTTTCTTTTTTTTTTAATTGCGTAGTTTAAGAGTAAGAATAATTGTTATTTATAATAATAATAATTATTATTAGATAGTTATAATTTTAGATAGGTTCATTTTATGATTAGTGATAATTATTGGTAGACGAGGAGGGGTGTGTTAAGAATAAACCATAATTATAATTAATATAATGATAAGACATTGTAAAAAACTTTGTAAGTTGT